AACGAATAGTTTTTCAGTGATTAAAATGTTTATACTAAATGTAAGATAAATTTAATACGTAGGTATGTATTAAATATTTGGATCTTGTATTTATAGTACATGTTTTATTTTTACAAATTATTATTGTTGACAGATTAATATCACTACAATTCGCAGATCACCAAAGCCTCCAATATCTTCCAAATACATCATCATAGACTTGGTACTATCCAGGAGTACACAAAATTAAAAATTAATCGTTCTTATTGTAAATTTTCAATTATCTACTATACATTACATATCATGGAAAAGTTGTTTTCATTTAAGAAACTGAAGTTATGCAWATCTCCATAGAAGTGCAAAAAATTCTWATAATTTTAAAATATGGCCTTTGAGTATATACGATTTTGTTATTTGAAAATTCCAAAAATTGGATTAGTAAATAACTGGACTGTTAACGAAAATTGGGGTAAGCATGCTTGATGAATATATAAAAATTGGTACATGGGAGGGCTATATAAATTGGAAAAATATGAAACAAGAAAAAAAAATCTAGAATTGTTCAGCTCAGGGCTGTATAAGTCAGGATAACATTATTGAGTATATTAAACAYGTGGATCCGTATTAATCTAAAATCGAATTAATTGAGAAAATAAAGCATAGGACTGTACAGAACAGTTATTTGCAGGAAAATATACACGAGGTAAAGTATTATAAAAAAAATATTTCTAATAATTATTTTCCTGAAAAGTACGGTTTCATATGAATATTTTCCCCATTTATACGTGCTCCCGCAACATACCTTCAGTAGAATGTCGGTCATGATTTCCGTGGTTTTCGATATGTCGTTTTCCGGTAGCAGTTGACCGGAAACAGTGATGGCYAGCACACACAGGCCGACAGCGACGGCGGCCAACGAGACACGGACGGCAGACGTCATATTATTATTGTTGGACAAAGTTATTGTGATCGCTGCGGATACAGTTGTTGTGCATAGATTCGTAACAAAACTGCGATGTTGCTTCGACTNCCTGTGTCATAGAAATTTAAAAAAAAAAAATGCTTTCACATTAAAAAGTTTTATTAAATTGCCTCTATATTAATACGACGTAATATTATAATATAGCCGTGGTGTCGGCCAATRTTAAAAGTGTTATAATAACAAATAACGATGCGATTATTTTAATTTTGAAGATTTTCATTTATTTTAATCCTAATCGACCCAATCCTTAATTATAATATACACAAAAATTATTGAATTTGTTATTTACTATATCTTTTCAAAGTACCAGACTTATAAAGTTATAACTATATAAGGACAACATGTATAAATTCTTGAAATAAAATGATTGGATATTTGGATCGTATTTTAGTCTATAATATTTTAGTTTGGCCGAGTTGTACAGTGCGCAAACCACAACTTCCATGTAGGTACCTAATACCCATATAATTTATAATTTTATTTAGAACTCATTTTTTTCGCTCATACCTCTCATGTGTATTAGGAATTGGTTATGTACCACTAATGCCTAACAATAGAACTACTTATTAAAAATTACAGTACATTTTATATAATTTAGTATTCACCTGAAACATAATAAGTAATATTAGATCCGTTAAGTATACATATATTACTAAGAATATTTATTTTGTAAATGTATGTACTATCGCCCACGGCTTTTCACGTACCACAGGGCACAGTTTGAAAAATGTTCTGATATACACTTACCATTATAAAGGTTTACACTTTTATTGTCCTTATTACTATTAGATAGATATTATTATTTGGCTATACCTTTATTTTGTGCCTTGTGCGATGATTTACTTAATATCGTTTACTTATCGGCTTATCCCGGCGAGTATTGGATGTGCATAGTGTTTATTATATGGTGACTATACGTCTATACATACCTTGATGGTTGTGAGTACTTCTTTGTAGGAGTTCTTRTCCGGTAGCTCACCACCCATGGTTTCCACAAGTTGGGTCTTGGTTTCCGAATCGGCTCCCTCAGCTGCTAGCGCCAAAATTACTGAACTCGCGAACGGGGATACCACATAATTGAAATTATCTTCAGT